TAGCACAGCTAGGGAAACATTCAATAATTAATATCGTATGCTAGAGGAACCTTAACTATAGAGGCAAAAGAGAGAAGGAAAACATTGAGCACAAGAGACAGGGTTACGATATGCACCGAGGGAACATGATGAATGAGCAACTGAAGCAACATGGACTTTGAAAATGATCGATGGACAGAGTGATTAGTGAGGATACACATCTCAGAAAAGGAAAACATGGAGAGGATGATATATGCGGAAAGCTAGACGTGAAGGATGACGAAATAGAAGGTACGAGGTAATGGGATCTCCGACTACGGTGAAGTTCGGGGCATGGTGCAGTGCACCAGCTCAGAGACAGGGCCACTGATCACCGCAAGGAAGGCGAGTACGGGGTGCATGGGTGGGACGGTCAGTCCGTAGAATGAGGCCATTGTCCAGGCATCGGAAAGGTGTTCTACCCCCCTGAGACGATGTAGAAGTGGACAAGTAATCACGACCCGTCTCAACATGCATCGATGAATGCTCAACATTAGTACTAATGGAGCATATAGGTTAGAACATGAGATGTCATAATGGGCTTTCAACATACCGAGTGGCAGGACGACCGGACTGCGCTCTCCGGGTCGCAACGCAGCGTTTAGGCATGCGCGGGCAACCGTGCCCCTCCGGCGTAGTAGAGGAGGCAGAGGATGCAGAGACAATTTCCTGATGGTTAGAGCCAGGGTGGACTAGAGATGGGACGACTGGAACCGTCTGGTCCACGATCTCAACGGTCATTTCCGCCGCATCATAAGCAGCCTGGCTGCCTTCGACTGCCTTGGGACGGTATGAGATTACATTCCGGAAGCGCAGAATTTCGTCGTCATTGTCAACAGTCGAGAATGCGTTGATCAACGGGAGGGAGACTTCAATGGCACTGGGAGTGGAAGGCGTCATGACAACATCTTTCCCTTGGCCGTGCATGGAACGGTATAGTAATAGTTCCGCTCGGTCTGCGGACTGTGCCATCTCCGCCTCAATCCGTTTTTCGACTTCCGCTTCGAGAGCTGCTCTCAACGAGGCAACCAACGTCTCATGTTGCTCCAGCTCATTCTCAGCAGTTACCGAGCATCGATCGGTGGAGTGACCACCCAAAGAACGAGGGCTCCCTTTAGCATACGCCAGCTGCTCCTCAAGTTGTTTGATTTGCAGCTTAAGTGACTCATTCTCCCTTTGCAGTACGAGAACTCGCTTCTTGTGCTCTGTAGATTTGAGCATAACCGCGTAAATTGCATCGGACTGCTCCGACGAGTAGGCGTCTTCACCCTCGTGAAGAGTGGAGTGTGTATCTTGACTGAAAGGGGAGTCAGGCGCCGCCTACAAGTACGGGAAGAAAGGAATGAGATGGTTTCAACATGGACCAATAGATAACCTACTGAGGAATCTCGGCTCACGACACAGAACACTCCCCCAGATGCACCTTCATTATCGCTACCCTATGAATTAGTTAGAAAACCATTCCGTAGCACAAGCTTGTAAACACACCTTAGTAGCCGAAGAGTGGTTTGAGTGAGAGAGGGTTGTGACCTAGTAATAGATACAAACAGGTCAGTGACTGTCCAGTCCAAGTACAAATAGCGATGAGAACGGGGAAGTGACAGCCACAATCACCCACATCAGTAGGATCTTGCCTTGTCCTACTGAAGAAGCGAGAGAGAGAGGGAAAAGCCAAGGGAAAAGTCGTACTTGTGGTTGATATTTTGCCCTGGGTGGGAACAGCGAGGTGGGTCAAGCCCTTCGATGACGACAATTGCTGAATAGATGACATTGTTACGATCAAGGGCAGGTATACAGTCAAGGATTGCAGTAATGTGGCGAGGTCTTAGCTCAAAGTACGAGGAAACTCAGAGATACGAGCGTAAGACGGATCTTATGGTAGGGGGTGGGGGGCGAGGGGACGCTTGCTTACTTTCTTATAGAAGGGAAACCCGAGTTCTTTATATACCCTCGCTCTTTCCCACCCCCGTGTGGGAAATTCCAACGAGATTCCAGTCATGACCAGCAAATAACACGTGAAAGTCGTCAATATGACCAGTCCACCAGTCCGATTTGGGACGGGAGAGCGTTGGAAGGACGGAGATCGGCCATTGGAATCAAGACCAACCGGCCGAAGGTTCATAGGTCCCCACCCTAGAACGTGCGACAAGTCAAAGCATAAATTTCCCTGGAGGCTAGATGTGCCAGAGTTTGTAGCGTGGCGCTAGGCAAAAGGTGGTCTCGGAGACCTCTCGGATTCCCCAAGGAAAAAGGGATCGGCCAACCGGGGATCCATCTTTGAAAGCCGGTAGTTCTGAATCATATGTCAAAAGACCTATAAGTTATTGCCCCTGAAAAGTGGTAAAGCGGCGAAGGGCAGCAGGGAGCAGAAACGGAAGCGTCCGAAGTTGAAAAGCTTTTGGACGAGCGGTGCAGTGATAGAAGACACGACGACAGCTGGACGACAGTAGCTTTTAGCCATGTAGAAGATAAAGACAATCTGCCATGGCCACTTCAAAGTGAAACCCAGCGAGGAGGTCCAGGAGCAAATCTCGCGGAATTGACGAGAATTCGGTCTCCCGCTCGAACCGCGGGAGTATTGTGCCGCCGCGGCCGAAGTGTCTCATGAACAGCAACATCGGAATAACAAAGCATTTCCATATTCAAACCATTCCATGTATCAGTATCTGATCTTCCGAAACTACCTGACCCATAGCACCAGTGCTCGTTCCGTCGGGCACTCAGCAAGTGGTCCACAAGGGTTCAAAACCTCGGCCTTCGGTCGGCTCAAGAAAGGTGAACGACCGGAGGGAATTCCCAAACCACCATCTGTGATGAAAACGACATCAAATCAACCACCGAGCACTAACAAATGTTATTACATACCATCTAGCCCGCATATCCCACTTTGCTTGCTCCCGCTCCCGCTGCCGTTCCAAGGTACGCCTTTTATCTCGGACTCGATCCTTATGCTCCTCGACGCCCATTCTTTTGACTTTGTCTAGCTTCTCCGGAACCGCAGCCTTTTCTCCGGGTAGAGGCCCGTAGAACTTGATCTCCTCCAAGCTTTTCACCTGAGCGTACAGGAACTCGGGATCCTTCTGCATGCGCTCGAAGCCTTTACTCAACCGCTTCACGTCCTTGACACGGCGAGTTTGCTTTCGGTTCCTTTTCGCAGTGGTCCGCCGCTGTGCATTTGCAAAAGATTGAGGCACCCTCTTTGCCTTCAAGTCCCTGGCATTCTGGTTCCGTACGTTATTGAACCCCTTTCTAGCCTTTCGGTTCCTCCAACTGTCTTTGGGATTCGCCCAGGATGGAGTATGCACTATCCGAAGGACTTTGTGCGGAGCGAATGGTATACGCAGTTTCGGATGTTCTGGAGCACAATTGTCCGGTCGAGGGGAGCAGATCACTGGAGGCTCCTCCTGGTCGTCCATTTGGCTAGCATTTACTGTTACTGGACGAGGAGATCGTTCCACCGTTGCGTCGTTTGTCGGGGACTGTGCACGGCCAGCGTCGGGGCTACCCCCTTCACTTGGCAATGCCGGAGGAGTGGGGGGAAGAACTTCGCTTGGAGGCAACGGCGTGGCCACGGTGTTGGTAGCAGGTATACTCGCTGCATCATTTATGGATATCTGCGCAATATCAGGACTGTTCTCATTATTCGGCACTTCCGGAGGTGGAGAAGGAGGAAGCTCGCTGGGAAGCAGCGGAATGGTTACGCTGTCGGTAGTAGCTATGCTGTCATTGAGGTCTTTAGGCTACACCAAATGAACATTTGTTCATCAGGAATTGTCAGCGTCGATACCGCGGGCGAGAATGACCGGGAACTGCACCTGTGGCTGTGGGGTTTGTACATTTGCTTGCGGGTTTTGTGTCTTCGGTTGTGGGCTTTGGATCTCTGGTTGTGGACTCTGTGTTTTTGGCTTCTTCTGGCGACCTCGTGATATTGACCGTTCATCTCTGGCATGGCGATGCTCCAGCCGGGAGCGTAGCGACCGTACCTGGCGAACCCTGCGATGAGGCAACGCCTGACGATATAGAGGTCAACGTACTTGTGCCGCTAGGTCTTTCATTATGGATTTACTTGTTTCGCGGAGAAGCTAAAGAAATTCTGCGTCGGTGTATATTCAGCCAGTATGAAGAGAGGTCCCCAACCTCAACTTCTCGATGTAGGTGAGCAATCTCTCTATTCCGGCGCTCATGTATAGTAGCAAGATCTTCAAGCTGGATGTTTTGGATCGACTATAAGACTCGCAATCAGCGTCGAGTAAAGGCTCATTCGGAGGTCCATCCGGAGGACATCACTGACATTGAAGGGAGCTCTTGACGGGGTCACAGAGGAATGGGCAGAACTGGAGGAGCTTTGCTTTGTTCCGCGAGTCTCCAGGATAGCTCGTTCAGCTAGATACGCTCGAGCCGCAAAGGCACGTAGCCATGGCATGGCTCGTCCTGATTCTTCAACATCACTGGGGAGGTAAGGGCGATATCCAAATGGTGCAAGTTCGAGAGAAGTGATTGCGGCTATTGTATCATCCCAAGAATTATCAGCGGCGATGGCTGGAGCGTTGGCGCTGGGACTGATATCGTATGGTTTGCCCATAAGGGACGCGTTGAGCGCGGGAGGGTAGGAAAGTGATCAGGAATTTAAAGGTCCTGCCTTAGGTAAGCGCGAGGACTGCGACGGACGAATTGGGACCTTCTGGGACCTCTTGATTTCTTCAAGCTCCTCTGAACTACAGCGGTGCACCTGTGAAGAAAGAGGTCACCCACGGTACCCCTACGTGATACAGTTGGACAAGAATCAGTTTGGAGGACAGGATCTTCAATCTTTGTTCGGGGATGATGCTTCTGCAGAGAGGCTCAAACTCATATCTACGGTTTGGTAGACAGACAAGTAAGTCTTGTTTGGAGGTTCAACTGTAGTGGGTAGCAAAATGGATGGCGATATCGGAGCATGCGCCTTTCGTCGTGCCCAGTGAAGAGGGAGCAAAAGGATCACGTGACCGACGCAGGGCTCGAACCTGCAACCTCCCGCTGAACGCCTATCGTAGGCGGACGCGCTACCATTGCGCCAGACGGCCGCGATGTTGTCTGAGGACCTTGAGATACACACGTTACGAACTAGTTACGGTGCGTTCCTTCTCATTTATTTGTAGACATCATTACGTTAATCTTGACCCTGTGACATAGGGACGAATATACCCCTCACCGGAGGGACGCGTCTCTCTAGATCTTGAAATCCCCCGATGCCATTTCCCAATCCTCAGTATCTCCATCCACACTGTACTCGTATTCCTCGTCATACTCCTCCGCGTTTATCATGCCAACCCGCTTATCAAACTC